GAGCAGAGAGAGAGGGAGAGAGAAACTTAAGCAGACTCCATGCTGAACATGGGGCTTGATCCTACGACCCCATGATCACAACCCAAGCTAAAACCAAGAAAGTTGGACGCTCAATCAACTGCATCCCCAGGCGCCCCTACAATGTCAACTTTAACTGAATTCATCCTTGGCTTTGTTTCTTCCCCTCAATATCAAACTCCTTGAGATGAGAGCCCGTGCTGGAGCCCTTTGCCCAGTGCTTGGCATTGGCAATTTTTGTTGTTGTTGAACTTTTTAGATGAAAGTAAGCAAGGTGGTGTGATGTGGGACAAGCAGGGGCTTTGGAGGTAGACAGAAGTAGGCTTGATCCCAGCTCTGTATTTACTGCCTCTGTAGGATCCGTCTGGACTTCTGAATGCAGATTTCTCTTCTGTGAGATGAAGCACAGATTACCTCCCAGCACATGTAACCTATTTAAAGTGGCTGAAAGAGCACAAACATTACCTCACTTTCTTACCATTTTTGTCAATGTGCCCTGAGAAAATTTTTGAATGAGGCTGTTGTCATGTGTGTGTGTGTGGGGGGTGCATGTGGGAGCTCTTAATAGGAAAATGAGGAAAATATTCTCTATGAAAAGTGTCATTCCTGCTATTGCCATCTGGAATTTGTAAGATCTTTGCTGACTATTTGACCTACATGAGGAAAAAAAACCCTTCTACTCTAGTTTTTTTTTTTTTTAAAGATTTTATTTATTTATTTGACAGACAAAGATCACAAGTAGGCAGAGAGGCAGGCAGAGAGAAGGAGGAGGAGGCAGGTTCCCTGCTGAGCAGAGAGCCCGATGTGGGGCTCCATCCCAGGATACTGGGACCATGACCTCAGCCGAAGGCAGAGGCTTTAACCCACTGAGCCACCCAGGTGCCCCTCTAGTTTTTATTCCAAGACAGTGTTTCTAAGGTGTGTGATTAGTGAATTATCATCGCTTCTGAAGATGATTCCTGCGCAAAAATGTCATGGTCATATCATTTAGGGGAATTCAGCATGACATAATTTCTCCCCAGACGTTCATCATAAACTTAGTGTATTAAACATTTAGAGAGTCCCCAGGAGAGAGATTTGTTTTCATTGTTTAACCCGTGTTTCCCCAAACTTATTTTTTTTTATTAAATTCAATTTAGTTAATATATAGTGTGTCATTAGTTTCAGGGGTAGAATTTATGATTCATCAGTCTTATATAATACCCCATGCCCATTACATCACATGCCCTCCTTAATGCCCATCCCCCAGTTACCCATCCCCCTAACCTTCTCCCTTCTGACAACATCCTATGATTAAGAATCTCTTATGGTTTGCCTCCTTCTCTGTTTTCATCTTTTTTTTTTTAAAAGATTTTATTTATTTATTTGACAGACAAAGATCACAAGTAGGCAGAGAGGCAGGCAGAGAGAGAGAGGAGGAAGCAGGCTCCCCGCTGAGCAGAGAGCCTGATGCGGGGCTCGATCCCAGGACTCTGGGATCGTGACCTGAGCCGAAGGCAGAGGCTTTAACCCACTGAGCCACCCAGGCGCCCTTCTGTTTTCATCTTATTTTATTTTTTCTTCCCTTCCCCTATGTTCATCCGTTTTGTTTCTTAAATTCCACATAGAAGTGATATCATGTGGTATTTGTCTTTCTCTGACTAACTTATTTCGCTCAGCATAATACCCTCTGGTTCCATCCGCATCACTGCAGATGGCAAGATTTCATTCTTTTTGATGGCTGAGTGGTGTTCCATGTATGTGTGACAACAGTAGCTAACTTCTGCCCAAAGACAGGGGCACTGGGGGCAGCAAGGCTCAGCTCTGTCAGCTTTTCCACTTATGAGGGTTCCAGTTGGCTTCATAAGGGACAGAGTTGGGACCATGAGATCACATGTCTTCAAGTTGCCAGTAATTCCTAGGGGAGCCCTAGCTTGCTGGTCTCCTTCTATCCGTAGCTTTTCACTCTCTTCCTGTACATGTTAAATGCCTTCCTTTTTTTTTTTTTTTTTAAGATTTTATTTATTCATTTGACAGAGAGAGATCACAAGTAGGCAGAGAGGCAGACAGAGAGAGAGAGAGGAGGAAGCAGGCTCCCCACCAAGGAGAGAGCCCGATGCGGGGCTCGATCCCAGGACCCTGGGATCATGACCTGAGCCGAAGGCAGAGGCTTTAACCCTCTGAGCCACCCAGGCGCCCCTAAATGCCTTCCTTTTTAACCCAAATTTTATGAATCTCCTTTTCCTTCAAGACCCAAGTTTTATCTATTTTTGCTTTCATTTCTCCTCTAAATCTCAGGTGGGCCGCAGCCGCATCTGAGACAAGGATGTATAATCAGCACCTGTATTCCTCGTACGTAATGTTTCCCAGCACGACGCTGCTCCATATAGATCCGACTGAGAAATCCCAGCTCCGTGAGATGCAACCACGGGGTGGAGGCTTTTCTCTGAGGAACTGCCACCAACTTGGCTTAATATTCTCTCAGGCTGAGCCCACAGCTTCTGGTCCCTTCTGTTTTACCAGTTTTATTTCTGGTAGATGTTCTTCAACCGCATTTGGTATTATTATGCAGGGTTCTTGTCCAGCTGAAAGTCCTTCTTCCCCACCCGAGTGAAGCTTGGGCTCCCGATCTCCCTCCTCCTGCCCTCAGGTCCAAACACCTATGCAGGGCTGGGCTCAGGCTGGGGTCCCACGTCTCTGGCTTCCCTTTGTTCCACGGCAGCTCCTTCTATGCTGGCTGGGGTCGTTGGTGTAGGCTGTTGACTTCTGCTTGGTTGGGATGGAGGATCCTCTGTCCCAAGGTTCTTGGCATGGGGGCCAAGGCCTCCAGGTTCTCCTCCCTCTGCCTTGCCTTCACCCTCAGAGGGGCTGTTGTTCCGGAGTTACTGGAAGCACCTTACCCGATCACGGAGGGTTGTTGGAATCTTTGGGGTCCCTTGCAGCAGCCGCTACAACCTTGGGACTCTGGATGGGAAGCTGAGTGACCGACCGCCTCAGAATTTCCAGATGCCTCTGCCTCCAGGTGAAACACAGATTCCCTGCCAGCTGGAGGGGTTCAGGTAATAAGGTGAAAGTCCTCTTTCCCTTCCCAGGGTAAATGGAGAAGACATTCTCCTTAATACATCTTTGTTCCTCATTCACATTGCGGTATGGAGACAGTCATTTTGCTTATCATGAACCTCAATTTTCTTTTCTGCAAAGTGGAGACTACTATCTCATCGATTTCCTACACTTCGGAGGTTTTTTGCCAAGATGTAATGCAGTGGTATATAGGTCGGGGTCTTTTCATCTCCTTACCTGGCTTTGTGACAACCAAAATTCTCTCTGGACACTGCCCAGTGTCTTTTGGGGAGCACACTTATCCCCAGGTGAGAGCAGAGTAGGAATGAATGACGTTAAGCTGACTGGCTGCGTTCCATCCTGGAGCTCTGAATGCCGTGTGAAGACCAGGGCTTCGAACTGTCCTTTAGAAAGTAATGAGTTAGGCCAGCCACGGCCCCCACAGCAGCTTTCCGCTTGACTGTGTCGAGCTGTGCCAATGAGAGTATCGCGTCTATTGTATCAAAGAAGGAAAATGTACTGGACTCAATGATGAGAATATGAAATCTGTGTGGCTAGAAGGTTTGTAAACCCACAGTTTTGTGGCAACGCGGGACGTGTCATCTGAGATAGAGTGTATAAAATGTTGGAGTAGGGAACGCAGGCAGATCGGGGCCTGTCTGATGTATGAAGACACAAGCGCAATACGGACAAGGACCTGCTGAATTATTATTTCTCGAGTTCATAAGACTGGGCTGTACGTGGTGTGGGGGGGTTTGATGGTATGTGTGGAGCGGGGGTCCATGCTGAGGCCACGCTCCCTGCTGCCTTGGCGATGGTCGCAGCCTCCAGGGGTGGCCCAGAGAAAAGGCCCGTGGAGAAGTGGGACAAATCATTTTGGAAACTCATCCTTGGTGTGTGATTGTAATGGAGAGATATGGGGTTTAAATGGCAGACAAGGAGGAAGGACATATAATAAAAGGCTGGGGGCAGTTTGCAGCAGCTTCTCTATACTGGGGGACCCTGTTCCTGTTAGCCCGGCGGTCATGGGTCAGTGCGAATAAATCGTCCGTGAAACAGTTTGGTTACCCCAGCCTGCCTTCCTCAGTTGCTTTGCTTCTTGGAGGGTTATGTTAGAGGAAATGGTGAAATTGTTTGGAATGCCTGGGTGGCTTGATGGGTTAAGCCTCTGCCTTCGGCTCAGGTCATGATCTCAGGGTCCTGGGATCGAGTCCCACATTGGGCTCTCTGCTCAGCAGGGAGCCTGCTTCCCCCTCTCTCTCTGCCTGCCTCTTTACCTACGTGTGATCTCTCTGTCAAAAAAAAAAAATAAAATCTTTAAAATAAAAAGAAGAAATTGTGTTATTCTTTTATTAGGATCCAAAAAGTGTGATATGAGCAGGTGGAAAGCAGGAATGAGAAAACTAAAGTGGAGCCCCCTGGGAAGGGAGGGAGGGAGGGATGAAGGAAAGGAAGAACGACTTTGGTGGGCGAGCAGGTTTTGTTTATGGAATCTATGAGGATACCTGTTTCCAACCGCGTTCCTATTCCCACTGTGTTGCAGGTGAACTGAGACAGAAGAGCTATGTCCTTTTGCCAGCAGGTGGCGCCATAAGAACCTCCTATAGTAAAAGGGGGCGGGAACGTAAGCAGGACCCTTGGTATTTTCCTTTCAGGAAAAGTCTAGTCATCAGTGTAGTTTCCTAGTTTTGCTGACATCAGCAACATGTGCGCACCCCTTAAAGAGTTTTCAGAAGATTCATCTCTCCCCTCATTTTTCGTACACTTGTATTGCTCATTCAGCGAAAGATTATATCCCCATAAAAGGAAAAAAAGAAAAACCCGAGGGTTTAAAACAAACAGACAATATATATATATATAATATTTTATATATAATAAATATATATAATATTATATATATTATATATATATTGACATATGTATTATATATCTTAATTACTGCAGTTACTTGAGGCACACATCTCTGTAGTGAGTACAATAAATGTTCTTGTGAGGTTATGCTAGATGGTTAGAGATGAAGGAAGCCTGCCCTGTTCTCACACTCCTGTCCTCCTCTGGGCTGGAAGGATTCCTTGTGGCCGAATATCTCCCCAATACTAAGCAGTCTCTCAGACTCGGGGGGAACCCTGTGTCGGAGGTAGTGGGCATTTCTGACCTTCACAAACAGCTCTAAGAAGGTAGGTGTTACGGACTCGTCTTTCAAATATCCTGCACATTCCCTGGGATTCAGGGGACTTTGTCTGCCAGCGCTGGGGTCTGGCTGTAGGCTGGCATCCTTTGATCCAGCCTCATCAATGTGTGCTTTTCCACTCTCACCAGCTGGGCTGGAACCAGGGCCTTGGTCTAGGGTGTTGATGGAGACATCTTGATCTTGACACAGAACAGAGATGCCCTTGCTGGAGGCTTTGCCCTTTGGGGGGCTTTGACAATCTTTCTCACGGGCTCGTGGCTTCTCTGCTGTGAAGCGGGAAGCTCTGTAATTTTGAGATAGTGACTCTTCTTTGCTTTTCATGGAGTCCTTTAGGGCAGTGTGATGGAAAGGAGGCATCTGGGATTTGGTTTTATGTATTTCTTGGGTCGTGTTGGTGACCAGTGCTCTGGGGAAAGAGGTAAAAAGAAGAAAGATCTCTGAAAACCAATAAAAATGCCCATATTTTGAATTTCCCAGGTGTTAGACCATGTTCCCTTTTAGTGTGGTGTCTGCTGAGGTGGTGGTGGTTGAGAAGGGGGTGGTCCCGATACTGGGAAGTGTTTCGTTGCTTCAGGAGGAAAGGCAGCATTTTCTCAGGGAAAGGATGATGTAGGGCGGTCAGTTGGGAAGAGGGATTCAGTGGTGTCTCAATGAGTTTAGTAAGCATTTTCTTACCTAACTTTATTAACCTGTGGAACTTGGTGCTTCTGTCCTCTTGTTGATGAGGGTGGAAGGACATCTTTTGGTTTCTTCTGAATTCCATTCCCCAAATAAGAGGAGAGCTTTTTCTTGATAATATCTGCTTTGAGTTAATGAATAGTGTTATGGGTTGAATTCTGTCTTCCCCAAATGAGATATGTTGAAGTCTTCACCCCATAGCATCTCAGAATGTGACCTTATTTGGAGATAGGGCCTTTACAGAGATAGGCAAGTTAGGAGGAGATCGTTAGGGGGAGCCCTAATCCATGAGTAGTGTCCTTATAAAAAGGGGAAATTTGGACACAGACACAGATAGAGGGGAGACAATGTGAAGGAATGTAGGGAAAAGACAGCCATCGACACTCTGAGAGGGGCCTGAAGGTAGTCCTTCCCTCACAGCCTCAGAACAAATCAACCATCCGCACACCTTGATCTTGGACTTGTAGCCTCCAGAACTGTAGGGCAAAAAATAAGCCACCTAGTTCATGTTCTCTCTTATGGAAGCCCTAAAAACTAATCTAGTCAGAGGAGAAGGGAAAGGATGCTGGATCACCCATGGGTTTTCTGGGCAGAGAACCAACGTGTGAACACGCTCAGACCACAGCAGGCTGATTTGGCATGCTGGATGGAGGCAGAAGGACTTAGCAGTTCCCCAGGGTTGACCTAGACCATGTTAACAAGGACTTAGAAACCCTGAGATCAGAGGTTTAAACTGGCTGGAGGCCCATGGAGGTTTTGTTTGAGTGTTTTATTTGGCAAACATGGTGTTTTCAAGACAACTGGGTGTGAGCGATACCCAGAGGTGGCGCACTATTGTTTCCTTTACCTCAATTATGTGCCCTTCTACTGGCCTCAACCATGAATTGCAACTGCCGGCTAGGATGAAGTGGGTTTTTCACTCTGAGTAAATGTTTCAGCATCTTGTAGTCATAGCTGCTGTTGAGGACCCAGTTAGTTTTCAAGACACCTCACGAATGGGTCACTTGGGTGTGAAAGTCCTGCACTGGTTTGGGAGTGAGCTCCCCGGATCTGCACTGGGGTTAGCAGGCAGCAGGCGGAGGGAATAGGACCAGATAAGGGGACTAGAAATCACATTCCCCTCCTAGTATCATTTCATCTCGTCACTTCTTTGCGAGACAGTCAAGACAAGAGACCATCTTTGGTGAGCCCTTTTTCCTCTGTTAGTTCCTTGAGTCTCTCTCTCTCTCTCTCTCTCTCTCTCTCTCTCTCTGTGTGTGTGTATGTCTCATCCATCTAAGACCTTCACCTGTTTGCTATAAACCAAGAGATTCTAAGATACCTCTTCCAGATAAGCCAGTCTTCTGAAGTCTAGACCTGTTGAGTCAGCAGGCTCGGAAATGAACATAACTTTCCTCTGAAATGTGATCTTTCTCCCATGTTCCCTTGTGAAGGTGTGGTACCTGTAGGCATCCAACTCTCCAACTCAACAAGGATGCTTGAATGCCTCCTCTGTACCGGGCAATACACTTTTGACTCTGGTTTTATTTCCCCCTGGACATATCATTAATCACAAAGTTCTGACAATTCTACTTTCTAAATATATTAAAATACTAATTTTTATTTCCTTGGCCAATTCCCTAGTTTAGGTCTGAACTTCAGGAATTCTCTTCAACATTGCCGCCAGAGTGAACATGCCATCTCCCTACTCCCCGATCCTATAGGGTGAAACCTAAACTCTTTTGCATGACCTATGAAACCCTTCATGACCAAGGGCACTGCCTCCCACCCTTTGCCTCCACATTGTGCCTCACCTTCTCCTCACCCCTTACCCTCCTCAATACTGGCTGTCTGAAGCAACTTATGCTCGTGCGTGCACCTTTGTACATACTGTTCCTTCTGCCAGGAGTGACCTCATTCCATGTGTCCTTATGACAAACTGCGCTTCTCCCCCCTGCCCCCTGCATTCTCCTCTAAGATTCTGCCTACACAGTGCCTCTCCTGGAAGATCTTACCTGGGGCCCATAGGAATCTTCTTATATTCCTGCCCTCCTTTGTAAACAACTCTAATTTAGCAATTAGCATTTTCTATTATAATTTTTCAAAAGCACAGATACCTTCCAGTTTAAACGTGAGCATCTAGAAGACACAGACCATGTTTTTTCATGTTTATGTTCCTGCATCTATCGGAGTAGCTATAATGTCCCATAATAATCTATCTCAGTATTACCTCAGTTAAAATGTGGGTTTTTGAGCTCAATTCCCAACCTGCTGATCTAAATCTCTACGGCGAGGACATCTCTAAGATGAGGACAGGAGTTACGCATTTCGGACAATCTACCAACTGGCATGTGGCTGAATCTCAGTTACAATTTCAGTAAACGAATCATGGGAAAATAGTACAGTGCCTGATAAATACCAAGACATAATACATATTATTTCTTCCCCTTTTCCTTAATTTCCCCCCTTTCCCTTAATTTTACTGTCAAGAAATTTGAGGCTTAGAAAGAATATGACTTTCCAAAGGACATAGAGGCTGAGGTCCCTGAATCAGTTTTTTGCCTCCTGGTCCAGACTCTTCCTGCACCACCTGTCACTGAGGCAAACACTACTCAGCCAGGACTACCACCTATCTCAGCCTGGCCTTCTGCATACCTTCCCTGCCCCCTTCTGTGAAAGTAGATATATGGTCTTCTGTGTCTTTTTGAGAATAGAAGTGGGATTCAACCAGATATATGGCTTTTAAGGTTCTTTTCCAGTCTGTGAGCTCTCATTCTAGTTTGTTTTAACCATTTATTATAGACAGGGAAATGGAAAGCAGAGAAGTTCAGCTACTTGCTCAGAGTCCTCTCTTAGGCCCAAAGCTGCAGGTTAGAAATAATTCCCAGGCCAGCTGTTTGGACATCGCTCTTTGTTCTTGTGTCCATGTATTAGCCCTGTAGACCTAAACAAGTTGACACTGAATCATGACACCTGGATTTCCTCTGGAGCTTGCTCTAGCATTTTCAGAGCTTCTGAGTTTCAGCACCTGCTTTTAGTGAGAAGGGGCTGTAGTTTTGCAGAACTCGGGTGAATCCTTTCTATGCTGAATTTTGAAGTTTTATAAAAATCAAATTATTTTAATGATGGATGTCATTTCTGCAAAGCATACAATTACAGCAGTTTCAACAAAGCAGTAGGAAAGTTTTAGTCCTGAAACCATCTTTTCTTGATGGATTGATCAATCGCTTGATTAAGTGATAAGAGTAAACACTTATGTAAACTTACTTCATGTTTAGGTACTGTCCCAAGTGCTTGCTGAACCTCAACTAACTTCACGAGGTGGGGAACATCATTTCCATGTTACATTGGAAGAAAGTGAGGCACAGACAGGTCCAGTAAGCCCCCCAAGGCCTCACAGCTGGTAAACAGGAGTCAGGATTTCAACCCTGACAGTCTGGGTCCAGAGTCCGTGTTCTTAGCCGCCATGTTTTAATGAGGTCATTGAGTAGGGGGAGTTTTCTTTCCCAGTTTTTATTGAATGGTATAGACAGCCCTGGAGGTTCTAAGATTCCGGGCACCACGTGTAGTCCTTGGCTCTGTGATGATCAGTAGCTACTAACTAGAAACTAGTTTTTGAGGTTGGTTCCATTATTCTTATTATGACCACTTTACTACTTATACCTGTTAATTGGATAGGCTTCTAAGTGATGTATACATTTGGAAAAGGTTATTCTTTGGAGATAGGGGGTTCTATGGAAGAACATTGTTGTAAAGGCTATGAGCACATGGCTTATGGATAAAGAAGCCTCTTTGGGAAAACAACAGAAATATTGGCCCTTTGACTTAGTCAAAGAAAACACAGTTCTGATATACCACAATTACTTCTTTGAAATTTTCTCATCTAAGCAAACCCTGCAGGCTCTCGTATGAACACACATGAAAGTACAAGGAGGGTGGCTGAGCAGTTCATATCAGAGTCAGTCTCATTGGTGAGCGCTGAAAACAGCCAAATGCTCCCTGCTCAGCCCCATCAGAGGGCCGCTCTCAAGACAGAGGATATTGCTCTGTGGTCACTAATCCCGGGGATTTTTTTTTCCTTTTCTTTTTCTTTTTTTTTTTTTTTACTTCCCCTTCATAATGTGACTTGCACATTGAACAATTGCTCGATCAATGGCTGTTGACCAGGCGTAGAGATGAAACCATACCAACCCAGACATAGTGAGAGGAAAGCAGAATGAAAAATAAAACAAGAAGAAAACAAAGGACTTAGTAAGAGAGAGCTCATTTGAAACACTGAAATGACTGGAAGCCAGAGAAGTATTAGCTGAAAAAGGCTTTCTGATGAGCTGCTCTCAGGGAGCTGTGCACTCCAGGGAGAGAGGGAGGGAGGAGGGTGGTGGGAGGAGGGCAGGCAGCCTAAAATCCAGGTCCGGGTTAAGTTCTTGTTTCCTTGGTATCCAGGTCTCTGAAAGAGCCCTTGTCCTGAGGAGGAGGTGTCACTCTGGCCTCAGCCAGGAAGTGGCTTGCAGCCCTGCCCTGCCTCTCCCCCATCCCGGAGGACTTACCTTGTTGCAACCGCAGCAGTTCTTTCTGGAGCTGTCTCTGCTCCCAGGTCAGCAGCTTCATCTGGTACAGGCAGATGTACTCCAGTGTGTGCAGTCTTTGGCGGAGTCTGGCTTCAGCCCGCCTGGCATTCTTCCTCTCCAAATCGAAGTGCTTATACACAGGACCCGTGACCATGTGCCTCTCCATCCTCTTCATGGTCTAGAGACAATCATACAAGATTCTGACAGGCACCACGATGAACCTGATAGAACAAGGCAGGGATGGGGGGTGAGGGGGAGACCCTGACCCCTGGCTTTTAATCAGGTTGAGATGTTTGAATCCTGTGTTTCTGAAATGCCAGCTGCCCAGTCACACCATTGGGAACTTTTGCCCCATACTAATGAATTCCTAGAATGACACAGTTGATGGAAGGGAAAATTGTTCCTCTGAGGCTCAGTGTCCTTGCCAATAAAATAGTGATGGATGATAGGCTCCCCACACAGCCCCAATCAGATTGCCATGAAGACAGAGCATACAAACACCTCTTTGGGAAAAAAAAAAAATAGAAACACTTTACTTACATAAAGCATTATTCACCCAATAAGAGAGTCTCTTCCACTATTCTTCAAGAGCTTCCAAAAAGCCTGCTGAAGGGTCTGGAGAGGATGTGGGACTTAGGGCAGAGCCATTCTCTGGGCCCCTTTTGGTTCACTCATTCACACATGAATGGGTCCACGCAGCCTGTAGTCTGCCAGGTGCCAGGTGCTATGCTAAGTGCTGAAGGTAGTGATGACTGAGTCATAGTTCCCACTCCTAAGATGCTTTCAGATTTGTGACTGTAGAGTCTAATAATAACACACCGGATCTGAAGAGTAGGACTCTACCAGTCACAAAACAGTGCAGGCATCCTAAACCAGAAGTCTGGGCAGCAGTGGACAGAGTACTTGGGTTGGACATCCTCACCCATCTTCTCAGAGCTCCCGTCCTCTCTACCCTTCTTGTACCCTGATGACCAAGCCCACGCCAGCTTCCTCCTCCTGGGAACCGTATCACATGCATAGGCAGGGCACACCTTCCTCTTCTTTGAGTTCGCCATACTTACTTCAGAGCTAAGATCATAATATATGACCAGGATACAAATGGATTGCTCTCGATGGAACTTTGGTGATAATAATTCAGGAAAAAGCTTAGTGTTGAAAGGGAGGATAAGGTCAAGACCAGAAAAGACGTTTTAAGACAGCTTACTTTATAGTCTAAAGTTTAGAGTAAACTTTAACTAAAGGACAGGTGAGTAGCACTTACCTACAAAGCCAGAGTTCTCACCATGAGAATGCTGCTTGTATCTTTTGCTATGTCAAGCTGAGTCTGGGTTAATGAGCTTGTTTTTCTTCAGGAAATTTTGGAGTTTGGTCTTGGAGTGGGGGGCGGGGAGAGGCTGTGGGGAAGATTGTTGAATACACTTGAAAGCTCTCTCCCGTGCCACCTCCCCTGGGCAGGAATGCTAACTCCCTGGATATGGGCACCAATCCCAGAGCTCTAAATAGCTCTGCGAGTTAAGGAAGCCTGCCACCTTCCAGCTTTCCCCTTGTGGGGCCCGCAGTACTCCTTCTGGGCTGTGTCCATGGGAGCAGAGAATGAAAGCAAGGAGTGTTTTCCTGTGTTCTCAGTCTCCTTCCCCACCGCACCCCCCTTCTCTTTTTCCACCTCATTTGCCGTACCTTCCCCTTCCCCCATGCTCATTCCAACTTCTTGGAAATCAGATCAGGGCCTTAAAGAAGGCATTGTTTTTAGGTTTTTGATTTTTGGGTGTTTTGGGGGATCGGATGGTGTATATTTTGTGTAGGAAAGTAGTTAATTTTTTTTTTATCATTGTTGCACATCATACTGACTTTTCTTAGGCTTCTGTCCATATTCTGTACTTCAGAGCTTATTAAGGCTTTCTGTTGTGGCATTAGAATTAGGTAAAGTGAACTTTAAATCGACTTGTGTGATCACTATTGGTTATAGAACAGGCTACTAAGCAGGATTTTTACTGTTGCCTGGGGCTTCATGGGAAAACAAAAGCCACTCGGGTGCCACAGTCTAAGAACTGTCAGCATGAGGGCCTAGAAATCCCCCCAGAGCTTACTGAGTGGAGCTGAACAGGCCCTACTACCCAGAGTCATCCAGTCATCTACCTGCAAACAAGCTATTATAAGGAGATTACTGGGGAGAGGAAGAGGGCAAGCCATTATTCATCCTCTCAGTAGGAGGTAATTCCTTTCCCAGCCCTTCCACCAGGTAATTCTCTCACTTCCAGTATTTAAACGAACAGGGTGGGGTTCTAAGAACACCATCCAAAAGGAGTGCCTACAGAAGGGACACTGGCCCCTCACTCCCCAGCGGGACGTGATGATCCCCAGTACCTCAGAAGAGTTTCCATCCCAGCCCTTTGCTGCCACCAGGGGTGATGGTGGTGAGGGATTTCTTAGAAAAACTGGTTACTCCATGTCATCTTGAGAGAGAGCTGAGAAGGGAGGCTTGCAGAAAAAACCCAAGGCTGGAAGACAGGAATGAGCCATAGTGTGATGAGTGTGCAAGGGAATGGTGGCCAAACCCATTCTAGTCCCCCTTGGCCCTTTGAGAGTGCCAAAGAGGATCTCAGCACTTTCCTGGCTCATGAAGGAGTAGAGGGCTTGTGTAAGGAAGCAGAAGCCATGGTAGACTCTAGGTCAAATAAGGTAATACATCACCAGAGTGGGTATAGAACCATAAGCAGGGCCAGAGGGAGAAGGGCAGAGAGATCTCATTGAAGGGGAACTTCCTCATGAAAACAATAATTTATTTCCTTCCTTCCTTTCTTTTTTTTGAGAGGGAGAGAGGGGGTGGTGCACAAGCACCAGTGCAGGGAGAGGCAGAGGGAGAAGCAGACTCCCTGCTGACCAGGGAGCCTGATGGTGCTGGGCTCAATCCCAGGACCCTGAGATCATGACCTGAGCCAAAGGCAGACACTTAACCAGCTGGGCCACCCAGGCGCCCTGGAAACAACACATCTTAAGAGCAGAGGACAGCAGGAAAGCACATCACTGGTCAGGGACAGACCAGCAATGTTCACACAAGCACCAGTTACATAGGAAGAGCTCTGTCTCTTCTATTTCCCTTTGATCTCACAACCTCAGAGGGGTTAGATATTGAGAATTCAGGGAGGGGAGGTGTACAAAACAAGACCACATTCTCCATTCCTCCCCAAAGGGTTGGAGAAGGAAGAATGATAAAGCAGTTCTTTCCCTCCCTCTCCAGGTCCCTTGGAGTCTAGTGAGGGAAGGGTTTAAATTGTATATGAGATTGGAATTTCAAAGTGGACTGGTCTTTTTATAACCAAAGTGGCTGGAAATGTGGAGAATCTGCCCATTAAGGGACACTAATCTACTCATAAGGGACAAGAAAAGAAAAGCAACAAAAATAGTGATTAGAAATGTAAAATTGTCATTCCCACACTGTGTCCTGCTACCACCACTAGGGAAAGGGGAAGTTTCCACAGATCGTTAAAGCAGTTATGATTAAAATTAATTTTACAGAATAGATTTTATTTGTTTGCACTCATGCACTTTCCTATCTCTCTTTTATCTGGAGGTAGCATCCTTGTGTAGTCAAACACATCTGAGATCAAGTAATTTTGTTTTTAGTAGGACATGTAACTTTATTCATTAATTTGTCAAAGCCCGTAGTTTCCTTATCTGTAAAAAGGGTTAATAGTATCTTCAGCACAGGACTTCTATAGAATAGAATGAAAGGATAAATGAAGTGTTTGTGCATAGAAGATGCACAATAAAAGTTAGTGCCTGGTTTCTAGCAAAAATGTTGTAAGAGGAACTAGGTTTACTTTTCTATATGAAACAATTTAAAAATCAGACACAATTTATGAAATTATTATTATTATTATTTTTGGTTACATTGGACATCAGGCAGAGAGGATGAAAGAACAGAAACATACCAGGTGATCCCTATTATTGTCACAGCTAGTACTGCCCAGGAAGAGGTTTCCCTGCATTACAGGGAGGGGCAGCCAGGCATGTATTCCTTGAGTTGAGGAGACAGATCTAGAAGTCCAGAAAAGCAAGGCAGCAAGCATCAGCAGGGCAGAGTACCAGATCCAAGAAGCTCAATGAATCCCAAGCAAAAGAAACATGAATAAAATGACTCCAAGGGATACAAAGTCTAACTGCTAAAAAAAGGAACAAAGAAATAAAGATGACAATTGCCAATTTCAGAAATAAGAGAGGGACATCACTACAGATTCTACAGATATAAAGAGCTAATAAGAGAACATTGTAACCAAGTTTATGTCAACAATTTGGCAAATTAGATGAAAAAGAAATTCTTTGAAAGACACAAAATGCCAAAGATCATTTAAAAAGAAATAGATCAACTAAATACCCTTATATAGATGAAAGAAACTGAATTTGTAGTTAAAACCTTCCCACAGGGACACCTGGGTGGCTCAGTGGGTTAAGCCTCTGCCTTTGGCTCCGGTCAAGGTCTCAGGGTCCTGGGATCAAGCTCCACATCGGGCTCTCTGCTCAGCGGGGAACCCGCTTCCCCCTGTTCCTCTGCCTGCCTCTCTGCCTACTTGTGATCTCTCTCTCTCTATCAAATAAATAAATAAAATCTAAAACAACAACAACAAAACCTTCCCACAAAGTAAACTGGGTGATTCTACCAAACATTTAAAGAAGAAATAGTACTGATTTTACAGAAATTCTCCCAGAAAATTAAGAGGAGAAATTACTTTCCAATTCTTTTTATGAGGCTAGCATAATCCCAATACCATAACCAGAAAAAGACATTACAAGAAATGGATACTATAAAACAACATCATTCATGATCAAAAATACAAAGGTTTTTAAGCATGGTCTATCATGTAAAATATATGGGATATGTAAAAAAGATAATTCATTGTGACCAAATGTGGTTATCCCAAGAATGCAAGGGTGATTTAACATTGAAAAATAAATCAATGTGGATCATAATATTAATGTGGATCATAATTAATGTATAATCACTTTGGAAAATAGTTTGGCAATTTCTCATAAAACTGAACATATACTTACATATGACCCAGAAATTCCACGCCTAGATATTCAACCAAGAGAAATGAAAGCATGTACTCAGCAATAAAAAAACCCAAAACATTGACACACACAATGGCATGAGTACATCTTACAGACATGATACTG